CAAGGGAAGCAAAGACAGTAAACAAGGAGAACAAACAAGAAAATATAGGAAAAAACAAAGGAAACGAGGAGAGGAGTGGGAGCAATTAGGAAAGTAACAAGAGGAGAGGAAACAAAGTTGGAAACGAGGACAAGAGAGCAAATAACTAAGGGAACAAGAAGAGGAGAAGAAATGATGAAGAAAACAAGGGGAGGAAAGATTAAGGACACAAGAAAAAGGGAAGAAATAAAGAGAAAAGGTCAGAAACAGAGGAAAGGGAGGAAACAATAAAGGAACCAAGTAGCGAAAGCATAAAGTATACGATGAGGGGATGAAATGAGAAGTGAAAAAACGCAGAGAGGAAAGGAAACAAGGAACAAGGGAAAGGAACCAACAGGAAGAGTTGAACCAAAAAATAAAAGTGAACTAAAAGAAAAGAAAGAAAGCAAAGCAAACTGATTGAGCAGCAGCAGATAAACATCTGACTGCAGCTTTTCTTCTTCATGTTCCTGCTGGAGGAAACAAGTCTGCAGACTTACGTCAAAGCTCTCTGCTGGGCCACGATGAACTCGGGTTTCCCGTTTTTTATGATGAGCCGGGCGTTAGCCTGGACCCAGACCCACCGGCCGGCCTTGGTCAGCAGCCTGAAGATGGTTATGCCACTCTCTCCGGTTTTCATCACTGCAAGAAGACGTGTCATTTTTAGATTTTGCTGCACAGCAGCTGGCAGATAGCAACAGATTTCTTGAGTTATGGAACCCAAGTGATGCACACAGAATTTAAAACCGGCCGTGCCTATTTTGGCATTTTTCGCCTTTTGTAAACCGAGCGGAGCTTCCGACTTACTTCTGACATGGTTTTCTGCGCAGTACAACATGTCGGCAGCATGGATAAAGTTGTAGCCCGAGCCTTTCCTACTGATCTCTATCTCGGAGTAGCCCAGAACCAGCTTCGCTCTGTGGACGAAACACACGCCAGACTTCACTTGAGCGCCACAGCTTCATTCAGACGTTCAGTGAGAGATTCAAACAGCTCTCTGTGCCTTACCTTGCGTCGACGCCTATGGGTGTGAAGTCCATCTTGTGTTTGGTCTGGAACATGAGAGTCTTGGTGCGGATCTCCAGGATGGACGGCTGCTGCATCGGCGTTGCGATGGCAAACAGAGCAAGCTGCGGAGGAACCAGTGACCCATCCTCCGACACGTGGTTCTGATTGTGGAGAAACTTGAGGCGGCCGTGGAAGTTCAAAGCCTAAAGACAAGCACACAGTTTTAAGAATAAAGACCTCCCTTTAGGCCAGGAACATCTTGTGGATCCCGGTGCAGTGAGGCGTGTTGGTGTGTGTGTTTACCAGGAAGCCAGACGAGTTGTCGAGTAGGCAGCGCAGGCGGCAGCAGAAGTTCCTCTCCAGGAAGGACGAGTTCTCTGGAGGGACGGCATGCCGGTCATAGCTCACTATGTTTCTGCTGATCTCAGGGTTGCTCTGGTCACCTGGAGCGATGAGGAAACATTCATCTTTAGATTATTACATGAAGCAATACGATGCAAAAGAATTAAAACAAGCACCGCAGATACACAAAATCACACTGTGTATCTGCAGCAGACTGCAGCAGCAAAGAGACGTGACCATGTTTCTGGCTCCTCCTCTGCAGGTCACCTGTACAGGTGTGATCACTGTGCAGTGTGGGCAGACTTACTGGGGCCGTCGGCGCCCTCTGTGTTTGGGTTGAAAGAGAAGTGGAGCTGCTGTCTGAAGAAAGCTCGGTCGTCTGTGTGGATCAGCTCAAACACGCTCTGATGGACGACGTCCGACTGGAAGCAGGAAGCAGAAACATATTTTTAACGACACGAATCAACCTCAAAACTTTCCTCTGACACAAGCGGTTGCTCTTCACGTCTAGTGCTTTGTCTTTTTTTAACCTTTTAAAATATTTTCAGTTAAGCTTATTTCTTCATTTTATCAATTGCACTTACAATCCATCATCTTTCTTCTTGGTCCAATGTCCTATTTCTCCTTTGCTTGTTCCATCTAGTTTTCCTACAGTGCTTTTATGTCTTTGATTTTTTCACTGTTTGTTTTGTTTATTTTTTCCACTCACCTTACATCGCTTCATGATATTTTTGTAGTTGCTTTGTGTCTTCTTTACTAGTTTCACCCATTTCCTTTATGATTTCACATCACTGTGAGAACAGTTTTACTACTTTTTTATCTCTTTGCAGTCTCTTTTCTTCTTCTTTGGTTGGTTTTGTAGTTGGTTTGTGTCTTTTAACTGTTTATCTCTTTTGCATGAATTTATGTTCATTTTTATGTTTTTCTGTTCTCTCATTAAACAACAAACAAAAAATTGTAAAAACAAAAACCCAAAAACTATAATATTATGATATGTTAAATTGCAAATGCAACGCAGGGAAAATCACCATGGAAAAAATCACCAGAAAGGTAATCAAAAACTCTTAATTTCTTTAAGTCTTCAGGAATAGTTCTCCAGGCTTCTTGATGGAATTTCATTTGGATGTTTTTTGCCTTTTGTTCTGACTTCTGCTTTCAGGAAGTTTGAATAAACTATTGCTCAAGGCCACCTTAAAAAACAGTCTGGCTCCTTGGAAGCAAAACAGAAAGAAACGAAGGGTGGTGCAATATTTTTGCACAGTACATATTTACATTTGACTGAAAATATTTCTCCCATAGAATGAAGTTATCATAAGTTAAAGTTACCTAAAAAAAAAAAAGTCCCCAACCCTGTTTTGTTAACACAACACAGGAAAATGACCCTCACATGTCTTAAATAAAGGTGTGAAATAACAAGCGATGCAAAACCACAATAACATTAAAATTAACTTATGAAAAGATCGTAAAAGTACCTTCAGTAGTGTGGAGGAAATTTAGACCCTTCTTCTGTGTAAATGTGTTTGCATGTTTATCTGACTAAATACACCCAAAGCTAGTTTGTAACTTGTTAAAACCTTTTTAAATTAAATGCATACACCTGATTTGAATTTATATATAGTGATATTGACATTTTATTCCCATAACTAAACAAATGCTGTACTTTTTGTACAGTGTGACTTATTACATTACCATTGTGGCTACTGTGAGACAGAAAGCAGAGGTGGGCTTGCCTTTATTTTAAAGCTTTTTGAGTAAACGTAAACAATGTTGACCTCCATCCTGGTTTTCGTGAGCATCAGGCTCACAAACTGCACTAACAAAAGGTGTAAAGGACGTCACTTTCTTTCTGAGAACGACAAATATTAAATAATGGTTCCACAGACTCGGTCCTACGCCTTCCCACCTTTCCAGTGTTTGTCCTGCCGAGGTGCGTTCAAGAGCGATGATGCAGGTGTAAACACACATGGAGCGAATAATGCTCCCAGCAGTCAGAGCTGATGGACGGGGCTGGAAACAGAGGCGCTGTTGTTGCTGCTAAAGGAGCAAGGTGCTGAGAGAGCCACACCTCAGCAAACAAAGCCCAACACAAAACCCTCCTTTGTGAGCGACGCTGAAAAATGGCCTCGAACTTCTCATGAGGATTCGCTGTGCACAAAGCAGTCCTAAAGTGAGGATTTGTGGCTTTTTCTAGAGAAATACTCAGGCCCTTGATTTTTACAGTAATCTCCACGTTTTCTTCACGTCTGTTTCCTCTTTTGTCTCCTCCATGACTGTGCTCAGAGCTGCTCTATAAATACACTTTATAAAGTCATAAACAGTTGAAGCAGCTGGTGAGTTGGGGCTTTAAAAGTCACTGCAGCCTCCAAAACAAAACGTTTCCTGCCCTGATCTGCAGCCCCACTTCAGACCATGTTATGCATGTGAACGAGTGTTCAAATGTGTGTGTGTGTGTGTGAGGGCTGTTTACCACGTGCACTCTCTCCGGGCAACATTTTTTTAGGGTTTTTTTTTCTTTTGCTTGTGCTTTTTCTTCCCAGACTACAGACTACATCTTTAACCCCGGTTCAAACGGATTTGTTTATAAGTCAAGAGTTCACCGCTCACAAAGCATTTGTCATGCACGCACGCATACTCACAGAAACAAACGCAGACACATGAGTCCCACACAACTCCACTACTTAGTCATTCGAAATACCGAAACTTTAAAAAATAAATCTTTCTTATGAAGTGATGAAGCAGCTTTTTTATTTTTTAAAAGTCACATTTTAAATGTTAATGCTTCTGATGTAACTTTTAGGATGTACTGAAACAAGTCGGGTGCTGTTTGTCTAACTACAACAATGTCATGTCCCTACTGCTGAGTCGTGGCTTGTTTCTAAGGCTTGGTAACCATAGGGCCAGTTTACACACATTAACTAACTATACCCTGCCTGACCGTCCTGAGCCGTTCTAAATCTGAGAGCTTAGGTGGAGTACAGGGTTTAGTCAGACAAAAGCTGCTTCATTACAAAAAGAGTCCACTTTAGACTCATGAAATCCATATATATCAGCTGACCTGTAGGGTGTGCAGAAAAGGAGCACAAAACATTACAACCTGGAGACCTTGATTGAGCTGCAGGTATTTATTAAAGTCAAAGGAAAGAATCTGAATCACAACCAGCTGTGGGTTTCTCCAAAATCCCAATTTAGATTAAGCGTTTGTGTGATTGAAATGCACTATCTATATGAGCAAAGACAAAAAACGTATAATGGTAAATGTTTTTATTTAATCGGAACCTATAGCTGAGAAAAAGACTCACTGAAGCCTTGTCACTGGATTTTATGGCCAAATCTTAGGTGGAGTGCATGATTTCTCCTGCTTTATTTAAAGAAGTGTGGTGTACCCACCAGTAATATGTCTTTACTGGCTGCTGCTGATGTTAACGCAACTGAATTTCACTCGCTGAACAAGCAAAGTACAAAAACAACCTAAATGTCAAAATGAGAAAAAGACTGACTTGAGACCGACTTATGAAGGTGGAGTCATCTATTATAAACTGGTCAAGGCTGTGTGGGATCATGGAGGTTGAAGTAGCTGTAATCTTTGAATGGATTCAAAAGGATTTAACAGAGTCCAACGTATACGCTACGCCTAAGATCTGTGTCAACGACTGAACTGCAGGACGTGTAGAAGAACAGCAGAAAACATGATTCACAGCCAGACCCTGGCTGGTCCCGATACTGAATTGGACCAATCCATGCATGTCATGTGGGGCTGCAGGTATTTATTCAAGTCAAAGCATCACAAGTGACTGTGAACAAAATGCAAAATTGTTTGATTTACTTTGAAAATTGGAAAAATACTATTTTTGATCCTGTTACATCAATTGGTCATGTAGAAGTGAAACATTTCAACATCTCTAAATGTGAGTCCCTGATTGATTTTGAATTCTAAGTCAAATACTCCTTGTTAATTTTTTTTGTGTTTTTGATCAGCTATTAAAAGTCAAAAGATTTACAAGCAGTCCGTGTTTGTGAGGAAAAAAAGAAGGCAATAGATTGAAATCTGTGTGACCTGACTTTCATGGACAACAAATGTGAACTGAAACCCACTGCTTGTTAGATGAAAGGCTGAAAAAATGCGGCGGTGTACTGTTAAAGGAGGTTTTTAAGAGGAACATCAGAGTTCAGGAGGTCACTGAAGTGGAAACAGGTTCTTGTGCAGTAAAAACTTATTTCTGCATGCAGGATTCTCTTTTTACCAGCTGATTTGATAATTTCTGGAAACTGACCATTGTTGCTCCATAAAAGGAAAAACACGGCCCGCCTTCGGATTTAGTACATCCTTACTCTAAAATACAAAGACAAGTTATGTGCAAAGGCATAGCCTCACTGTCAGGCCTTTAGGTCGTTTAAAAAAACCTTCAATTTCAGAATCAGAATCAGTCGCAGTTCACAGGTTACTGGTTGGCTATATCCTCCTGAGCCCCAGCCCATTGAAAGATACTGTTTTTCCTTGGGTCTCGGGTGGACCAGTTTAAGTACAATGAGAATCCCAAGGAGACTTGCAAACTGTCATATTAAGGATGATTTGATCTCATTTCACTGAAATACTTTGGAAGGAACGGTAATTCTTGTGAAAAGGGAAATGTGCCTGTAAAATGACAAATAGGTCCTTGATCTTCAGCACTGTATAGGTAACGACCCATTAAGTAATCACTAAACTAACTGTTGCTGGACGAGCAAACAACACATAGGTGGCAACATTTAAAAGTTACACTTTCAACAGAGACGACTAGAACAACTGGACAATCCTGAGCATCTCGATATCACTTGTTATTTAATTCAAATATCCCTTTCTGGGATTTCATTACCTGGATGAGAATCAATTCATCAAGACATTAATACAAATGTATTTGTTCTTCTTGCTAGAATAAGATTTAATTTCAAAATAAACTCAAAATAAAGTCTCTTTAAAGTTTTAAAAGTGCAGCTTTTTATTCTAAAGCTTGATTTTTTTTTCCATGTTTGTCTTGTAAAAATAAATCAAACCTGCACAGTGAAGGGTTACACAGGTTGAGGCCAGCTGAGACCAAATTGGAGCGTATGTGCCCCAGGCTGCTAAAATGAGCGAGACACCCCTGGGCTACGGTTTGATTTTAGCTTGGCACATCAGCGTTATACTCTTGGCAATCATTACTGGCTTTGTGGTATTGATTTAAGAATCTTTGGGCTGTGCATGCTAACTGCCTTCACCTCAAGTGTGCACAGAGGCATGCCTAGGGTTGGCATAGGAGAGACTACCACTTCCTGTTAGCTCCTTTCTTACTCTCCTGGTTGAAGTTACACACATTTTAGCTTCGATTCTTTGAATAAACAAAGCCCGTGTTTATTTCTTGGTTTGTCATACAACAGTACCTATGATCTCCCCTTTATCAGCCACCAGCCTCAAGCAAGCAAGACTACACAGCTTCTCCAGCTGCAACTTGGTTGTTGTTGATGGTTTCTTCGCTGGGGATTAATTATTAAACATATTTGATTTTTCCTTTGTTCTGTGATTTTGAGTGTTGCCTGACGAGATGATCAGAAACTGGACCATAAATGACAAAAAGGTTGCTGGAAGTTTATCCAAAACATAAAATTTCAGGTTATTACTCAAATAAAAAAACAGATTAGACGCCATTGTGAGAGATCTAGTGAAAAATCTACTGCAAGAATTCCATTTTATTAAAAATTCTTATCAATATTATGTGCAAGAGTTTTTAAAGATGTTTATTAAACCTTTGAGGTTGATACCAAACCTAATCTTAGGCAATCGGAACATGAAATTTGTGTTTGTTGTTGTTAAATTTTGGCAATGAGGGAACAGCAACAACATACAGCGTTGGGTAGGGATAGGGTTGAGAGGGTTAAAGGAGTTCTTACTTGGTATCTATTTTCTTCTGCTATGATTTCTATTCTTGACTTCCTGATGAGGAGCTCTGTGTATAAACAGTTTTATGTTACTAAACTGTTACTGACCATCTGTTCATCATGTGTTTTTTCCACCTGAATTCTTGGATGATGGGTCATGGAAGGTAAAATTTCAAGCTAGATTAGTCCAAACGGTCGTTTTGTTGGTTTGCTGCCACTTTTCAGACTGTTTCAAAGCTTTTTTCTTCCAACGCTGCTAGGTGGAAATAATTTGAATTCTTCATGATAGATCCTACCACTTTTCACATGCAAAAAAAAAATCAAATATTACTATAACAATGAACATTTTTGACATTTTTATCCCCCTTTATATGTGGTGCAAGGATCTGAAGTACTGGTCATAATGTTTCTCTTATACCTGATGGAAGCCGAGGAAGTCCTGAATGGTGGGGGACGTGTAGAAGACGTAGCCTTCAGCTGTCACCACCAACACGAAGCCGCTCAACGCCTGGAGATCGAAAACAAGCTTTACCATCTTCGTTCTATCAGAATGTCTGAAATAAGCCACAAGCATGTGAAAGGCGTTACCTGAAGCAGCAGGTCTCCCTCAGAGAAGTTCACCCCATCGATGGAGGTCACTGTGGAAGTCGTGAAGGAGGAGGGGGCAGTGGAGGTTGCGGAGGATGGCTGCAGCGCCGAGCTCGCGCTGTTTCCTCCAAACATGATGCTCCGCTCGCTGGAGTAGCTGGAGTTGTTGTTCTGGCCCATCTTCATGGTGGCTGCAGGTGATGAAGATGAACAGTTAATTTGCTGAAGCTTTAAAACGTGTATGACATTTAAAACACCAACGAGGATTGCTTGGGGGGGGTAAAAAAAAAAAGACTATTTTTCTTTGTTGTTGGATTTATTTTCCACTTTTGATTTTGTTTTAACACAGAAGACCCCACAGGGCCAAACCGAATGCAGTTTGAGACGTGCTAAACAAATAAAAAGTGATGCAAACATGACTCTGACCTCATCTTGAAACAGCTGGCTGTCTTATTACAAAACTGTCAAATTTCTCAAGAATCTCTGATGAAATATGAAGTGAGAAAAACACCAAAAGCGGAACATCACTGTCTCTTTCCATCAGGGTGGAGCTGCCTCCTGCTTCCTGTCATCTTACAACACCGTAACTCTGCTCTCCCTTCTCTTCCTCTTCCCTTTCTGGCACTTATCGATCAGCTTTTATCCAAAAGAAAAACAAGAGAAAAAAATAACTGCCCCAAAGCAGCTTAGCACAGCCCCTCAGGGAGGAAGCAGGTGGTTTTCGAAGATGGAAGCTGGTCTTAAAGGGCGAAAGAAGGACTGAAGGAGTCTGGAGTGTTTTTACTACACTCGGTTGGTTTGTTGGTTTTTACTGTTTGTCTCGCACTGATATTGAGAGATGCATTTTACACTTCTGGATATTTTTTCTTTTCTTCGGCCTTGGTCTTTTACCGTCACAGTATTTTGCTTTTCCTTGTCTTGTAGAGCTCGTTGTAAAGTTTTTTTAGGATGCTCTTGTGTTTTTTTTTTCTCACAGGGCATAAAAGGTCTGTTCAAATTTGCTTTTATATAGAGCAACACTAAAAAAGCACAGTGATTTGACAGAATCAAGCATTGGAACGCCTTTAAAACTCCAAAATACTAAATCTTGAAACTATAAAAACATCCTTAGCTCCAACATGTCTACTCTAAACATCAAAAATTACTAATATCTCACAGGTTCAGCTTCTTGATTTGTTGTTATTCTTCAAGTTTTATATAGCAAATTGAAATTGTTTTGGTTTTAGGGGGAGGGGAAACAGATTTAAAGATGAAAAATGAGTCGATTAATCCAGAAAATAATAGTGGCGGCCTTCACTCTGTGCAGACTGCTGGTTTAGAGTACTGGCAATGCTTCTGTCCCAGCCCAAGCGCTGGGTTTTGAAATTCAATTCCTGGAGGCTTGCTCAGCCCCCGTCCTTGTTAAAAGTCCAGGCTGAATGAGGATAACAGACGGAGCCACAAAATTACCCGTTGGCCTCGGCGTTTCCCCCCATGGACCAAACGCAGCGGGGAGGCAGCCATTTTGGACGACAGAGCTCATGTGAAGTGGTTGACGGAGGCCCTGGAAGCTGCCGGAGAGGCTTGGATCGATCTGGTTTTCTAAGAGCACGAGAGGAGTTGCGTTGCAGCCTCTTCTCCAACAAAACAATCATAAAGGCATTTCGTGTATAATTTAGAGATACTGGATAAAAACCCTCGGATTATAACTGCCTGAAAACAAAAATCACACAGAGCTTTTTTAGGAAAGAAACTCTTCCCTGCAATGATTATGTTTGACAAGCTCAAACTTTGCTCTGAAATGGGGCCTTCAGCAAAGTCTTCTAAATGATTAAAGGCACAAAACTAGAGGCTGTGGAAAAAATGCAACTCCAATGTGGATTAAACATGGGAAAAGTTTTGAATAATAAACTCAGTTTAAGTACAAGAAGTCCTTAAGAGGTGGGTTTTTTCTACTCTTGGATCTTAATGATGTCATAGAGAGTGAATATCATTGGAGACACACAGCTCCCTAATTTATAAACTCACTGTAACACGAACAAGTATATTAGTGATGCTCTATGGCCAGAAAAAGCAACAAAAGTACCAGATTTGAGCACTCAAGCCAGAATTCGAACGACTCGATGATCTTTTATTGAATTTTTAACACAAAGTTAAATAATTCAGTTTTGATATGCTCTGTTTGGTTTAAGTTGCTTTAAAGTCAAATATGTGGTTAAATAAAACAAGCACGGAGAATATCAGGAACATTTTCCCAACTACTGGGATCTTCCAAGGGAAAGACTTCAGTTTGCTTGGAGCCATAAAAATACCACCAGAGCCAGATAATCTGATATTTGCCTGGTATAAAGACAGGAACATGCCGGAGGAAAAGCAAACCAGATGGGTTGGTTAAACACACTGAAGCACACGGAAAGGAAATGTACCAGTGTGGGCTAAACTGGGCACATCAGCGTCAGTGCGTGAGTTTCCTGAGAGAGAGAGGCAGCATTACATTTCAGAGTTTATATCAAAAGACACATTCTTGACCACACAAACGATCTGGTACACATAATAATCTGAGGTATGGAACGCTTGGTACAAATATTAAAATACACCAAAAAGCCAAAGAAACATACCCTGCAGAGACGGCTACATCTTTAGCTTGGTAAAAGATATAAATCAGTTTCTTCTTTAAATGTTGTAATTAATGGTACTGCATGGACTTAACACTGGAATGTACAAAATGCTGGGGTGCTTCCAAGCTCTGATATGGTATTATTTAATTGGGACAAAAGTAATTAATTAAAAAAAACTATAAAAATGACATCAAAAAGAGTTTATATGTGAAAGTCACTACAAGTGGATAACGCATATGTAAAGCTACGTCATGATACATTATGACAGAATATTGTAGGATATGTGAGATATGATATCGTAAAATACGATAAGCTATAAAAGGGTAAGTCATCTTGACACGGTAAGAGAAAACAGGATAATGACACAATACTGGATGATACAGTGATATCATACAATATTTTACAATACAATAAGTTAAGATACGATACAGCATGACATTGATTTTAATTTAAATACCACCTTTGGTGAAGAAGCAAACATTAACAGCAAAATTCACGCCCAAACCTGCTCATACATAGCACAAGATTATATAAGCAACTGTACTAACAAATGCACAAACAACAATAAGATAATGGCTGGACTCTAAATAACAACAAAAGGATCTCTAAGTTAACAGTCTGGAGACTGTTCATGGAAAATTTACAGTGACCATTTGATTCTGTGTGATTTTCACCATACAAAGCTTCATTGTATAAATCCACAGAGCACAAATAACAACATGCTAAACCACATTACGAAAAGTTGCATTACAAAGCTCCGTTTTTGTTTTTTTTATATGATAGCATGATGAAATGCAGGATGAAGCTTAAAGCTCAGCTCAAAGATGATTACTGTTTACCTGTGGGTAGCATATTGGCTTCTTTTAGTAAGTTCCCATCGAGCACTGTGGGTGTGTCAACATGCATACTTCAATAACAGACTCATTTTTAATCCCATGCTTCTTTGCTTTCTCCCCCATCTCAGGAAGTTTTCCCCCCGGTACCATGCCAAATGTTTTACTGCTCCCACAGCACGCTTTGCACAGCATTTAACATGATTTATGGGAAAACATAACAGCACCAATCGATTTCACGCCTTCTCGCAAGTCATGAATTTGAATACTGAATCCTTTTTTCTCGCAGGCCTACAGCAGCATTTACAGGATCAGTCTGAGGAGTTATGTACAGACATGATTTTATTTTGACTGTGTTTATCGAGCTAGGAAATATTTACCTCCTTAATGGGTTTAGATTCCCACAGGGAAGCGTCCCGGCACAACCATAGGCATTTAGGTTGGGGTATTTAGCAACTCTATGAGGGCAGTTGTTGACAGCTATAGGTAATGCTAATAAAAACTGTACAAGAACTTCTGACATGGCTGATTTCAGTCATTCAGCAGTGAAAAAATGCTGATTAGCCACATTCCCAGGAGTCCAATTTGACGTTGTCTGCTATATCTCATCATCAGTTCCCATCACCAAAGATATTTCACCAGTATTTTATTTTAAAGAAGAAGAGAAAATAAGTTCTTCCATTTGTTTTTGATATTTTGGTTACATAGGCTTAATAGAGAATAGATTATTTTTCCTTCATTTTTAATGCCACATTTCATGTACCCATTTGATGTTTAACATGGAATTCTTTTAAATAACTGCATTGTACGCTTGCATAACATCACTACACTGATAGGAGATTTAAAAACGTAAGATCTCTCCAAAAAGTGTTTGCCACACAATCGCAGAAGCTAAAGTCAACAACAAAAAGATTCAAATCAGGAATCAAAATGTGTTGGGAAGTATGGGGAGTGCTTGGTGACAAACAGGGATTATAAAAATGCATAGAGCTTCTAAGGAGGGGGAAAAGACAAAGACAGGAAGTAATACAACAAAAGGTGCCACAGAAAGCCAACTACCAAAACAAGACAAGAAGTAAAAACAGAGACAAAAAGAGACACTGGAAAAATGCAAAGAAACCACAGCTCTGTAAAATGACTGTGAAGTCATTTGTCTCAGGGAATCAACTGAAATGAGCAAAACCCAGTCGATCACCAGACACCACACAAGCCTCATCTACAGTCTGTGGCTACAGGATTATTGTAGCCAAAGTAGCTTATTTGTCAGCAGGGAGCAGGGAATATATATCAATGCGTCAACGCGTTAACAAGCTAACCGCACTAACGAGCTAAGTGCATTAACGTGCTAACCGCTCTAACTCGTTGACAGAGATTTGCCGTGTTAATACGGTTATGGCGTTAATCTCATTTTAATAAGATTAACGCTGACAGCACTA